GGGGCAGATGCACATTTTCAGGTTTCTCCAGAAATATTTGATTGGGTTCAATCCCAGGCTGTGGCTGGGCCACTCAAGGACATTCACAGAGTTGTCTATAAGCCACTCTTGCTGTGTGCTTAGGTTCATTGTCCTGTTGGAAGGTGAACCTTCTGCCCAGTCTGAGGTTCTGAATGCTCTGGACTGGGTTTTCATTAAGGCTATCTCAATATTCACTGAGCTTTTCTTCTACTCTGACGAGTCCCTCAGTCACTGCCGCTGAAAAACAGCCCCACGGCATGAGGCTGCTACCAGCACACTTTACTCTTGGGATGGTACTGTGCAGGTGATGAGCGGTGTTTGGTTTCCTTCAAACATTATGCTTAAAATTGAGGTTCATCTGACCAGATAATCTTGTTTCTCAGAGTCTGAGGGTCCTTTAGGTGCTTTTTTGCAAATTCCAAGTGTGTTTTCATGTGTCTTAACTGAAGAGAGGATTTTGGCCACACCGCCATAAAGCACAGATCGGTTGAGTGCTGCAGTGATGTTTGTCTTTCTGTAGATTTCTCCTATCTCCACATATGATCATGGTGCTCAACTAGCGTGACCATCAGCTTTTTGTTCATCACACTAACCAAAGCCCTTCTCCATCAGTTGCTCAGTTTGGCCAGGAGGCCAGCTCTTGGAAGAGTCCTGGTTGTTTCAAACTTCTTCCATTAAGGGTAACAGAGACTACATGCTTCTTTGACCCTTCAATGAAGCAGATTTTTTTTCTGAACTCTTCAACAGATGTGTGGCTTGACACAAACCTGTTTCTGAGCTCTACAGGCAGTTCTTTTGACCTCAGGGCTTGGTTTTTGCTCTGATATGCATTATCAGCTGTTAGACCTTTTAAGACGTGTGTGCCTTTCCAAATCATACCCATTCAATTGAATTTGCCACAGGTTAACTTCACTTGAGGTGCAGTAGCATTTACAAGCAATAAATACATTTCAACTGTCACAGATAAGGGTATGAGTACTTATGCAATGGAATCATTTACATTTTTTATTTTTAATAAATTTGCAGAGATGTTAAAAAACTGTTTTTTGCTTTAGAATTATGGTGTATGGAGTGTAGATTGATGTGGAGAAAAAGTAATTTAAAGCAGTTTATCATAAGGCAGCAACATAACAAAATGTGAAAAAAATGACTGCAAGACACTGTGTATATATATATATATATATATATATATATATATATATATGTATGTGTGTGTGTGTATGTATATATATATGCCTCGCGATTGTTTTATATATATATATATATTAGATGTCCAAGAAAGCGCGCACAGAGCACTCCCTTTATAATCACTAAAAAGCTGTCACTCATTTCTGTTAAAATCAATGAAGCTCTCTACAAAGCACAATGAATCTTTTATTTACATTGTCTATATTTTGTTATAATGACAGGATCCGTGAGCTTGCTTAACTCAGCACTATTTTGTGTGTGAGTGGATTCTGACTAACTGAAACACCTCGAATTGGCCATTGCGATATGTCTGTGATTGGCCACAATACTCAATGCTGCAAAAACACGTTGTAAATAGAAACCTTTGAAGCTCTCCAGAGTGCAAATAAATACACACTGGAATCTGCCCTGATGCAGCTGCCTCTTACACTCGTTTTGTTGTTTATGCTTATTGTGTTATTAAAGTTATGTTTGGCAGTTCCCGCCTCCTCCTTCCATGTGTCTTGAAATTTGTTACATACATACATACTGTATATGTATGCAACAAAGTTCATGTGTGTGTGTGTATATATATATATATACACACACACACACACACACACACACACACATTTACCTTAAATCATCCTGAAGACCCATTTTTTAAGTCTTGCAACCCTCGGGTTTGAAAACCACTGGTATATACTGTCATAAGTCTGGGGTTAGTAAGTTTTTTAAAAGAAATTAATTTATATTCAGCAAAGACACATTAAATAAAGACTTTTAATTTGTTACAAAAAATCTATTTAAAATAAATGCTGTTTTTCAGGTCTTTATCTAAAACAAATAATCTAGAAAAAATGCATCACGATTTCCACAAAAATATTAAGCTGCCATCGATAATAATAAAAAATGTGAAACTGAAGAAGGGTTATTATCGAAAACATTTTGTTAATTGAAATAAAGCTGAGATAAAACAAAATATAAAGTTGAAGCACTAAAATTACTAACTGGAAATAAATAAAAACTAAAACTGAATTAAAATGGGGAAAAAAACTAAAAGAACAATAATAGGAATGACAAAAGCATTTAACAAAACTACAAAATATTAAACTAAAATTAAAATATACAAATAAAAAAGTTAATTCAAAATATTTAGAACAACTATGCCAGTATACAAATACTTCTAAAATAACACTGCACTGAGGACTGGAGAAATGGCTTCTGAAAATTACATTTTAAAAGATATTAAAATTGTAATAACTATTTCACAATATTACTGTTTTCACTGTATTTTTGATCCAATAAATGCAGCCTTGGTGAGCATAAGAGACTTCTTTTAAAAACAATTAAAGTTACCGACCCCAAACTTTCGAACAGTATACTGTTTTAATTAGTATTTATTAAGAACAGTTTCTGTAAGCTTATTGTTCAGGTAACCTTGAGGAATGCGTCAAAGCGTGACTGATCTCCTACGAGGTGGGCCAGGTAGGAAACAAAGCAGAAGCCTTTCTCATAGGGCGTTTCATTGTAGGTATCATCAGGATCGACACCTGCAATGAAAAGACACAGAGGCAGTTACTACCAATTCTTTACAATTCGCAATAAAAATAAAGTTATGTGAGACTGCCATCTTTTTTCTGCTTACAATGTCAAATTAAACACAATAATCTAGTGATGACCAACCTGGTTCAATCTTAACCCGTAGTTTATTGAGAGGATGGTCCTCTCCAGTGTTGTCCATGTGTTGACGTAGAAGAGCTTTACCAGTGGCTGCCTCCAGACATGTATAAGCCTCTCCTGAGAATGAAATGGCACTTTTTAACGAATTCTTTATTAGTGAAATATTAAGGGTCAAATAACGTATGGCTTACCATACAGCTCCCTGCAAAGCCTGCGCTGAGCGTACATGGTGAAACCCTCGTTCAGCCAGAAATCACTCCAGGTGGCGTTGGTGACGAGGTTTCCAAACCAGCTGTGGCAGATCTCGTGTACAATGACGTCAGCGAGAGAACGATCGCCGGCCAGCAGACAGGGTGTGACAAAGGTCAGGCAGGGGTTCTCCATCCCACCGAAAGGGAAGGATGGCGGCATGAACAGCACATCATATCTAAACAGTTACACAATTCAAAAACACATGTCTACTGTAATGTAATAATTATGTAGTTCACTGAAGCTGTTCAAAAGAAGCATATCCCACCTTCCCCAAACGTAGGGTCCAAACAGTTTCTCTCCCACAGACAGGAACTCTTCGATCACATTATCATACTCCTGCTTGGCTGCCTGCAGTAAACAAGGCTCGGTCCAGACACGTGTCCTGAAAATGCAGTTAAAAGTGTTTATTATAATAATCATCATTTTTATTTAAATACTTACTTTATAATAGGGTCCACATATAATGTTAGTAGAGTATTTTTGCACTAAAAGCACATATAATTGAGTTTTTACATGAACATTTTCAACAACTCCAGCTTAGCTTGGTCTGTTTTTGGCCAATTAACTCTTTTATTCCAAATGAGCAATAAAGACATTTTATGCCTTAAGATGTAACTTCTTTATGGTAGAAGATTTGGGATTTTTTTTTTTTTACCTGGGTCCCACCTCAGCAGACTGCAGGTCCCCTACTGCCAGAGCTACCAGGTAAGCTGGAATGGGACGTTCCATGGTGAACAGGAAAGCGCTGTCTGCTTGCCTCTGTTCCCATTTACTAGCGCTCATAACTGCTGTGAAGCCATCAGGGACCTGATCATAAGAGTGAGGAGTGAGGAACATCAAAGAAAGAAGCTACTGTGTTTATGAGACCGTTCAAAGTGCAATGATAAGAAATCAATCGTGTAGGCTGAACTGGATCTGATCATTTTTGTGCTTCTTTCTTTCTTGAGAATCTGATGTGAGCCTATTGCTGACGATATATATAAAAAATAGTTTATGAAATCCAAAATAACTATTGACCAATAATACATTTTAAAGATGTTTTTGACCAACCTCATTTTATAATATATTATTTACTTATACATTGCAATTATTATATACTGTTCAACAATTTGGGGTCTGTAAGATTGTTTTTTTTAATATTTTTGAAAGAAGTCTATGCTCACCAAGGTTGGATTTATTTGATCAAAAATACATTACATTTTGTAACAGCAATGTTTTTAAATCTTATTACATTTTAAAATAAATAACTATTTTAATATATATATATTTAATATATCCAATCAACTCCTGAATATTAAAATCAAATCCCACCCTCCTAATTGAACACGTTGTTCCTAATTTATCATCTTTCTCTTGGAAAGACATGAGATTTTATAATTGGGATGCAAACTATAATGTCTGTAACTCTGTATCTTGTTTATATCTGTAAATCTGACCGGCCCAAAGGCCTCACCTGAACTGTTGCTGAGTAGGTGCTCTTGACTGCTGGAGTATCAAAGCAAGGGAAGAAGGAGCGGTTGAGAACAGCCTGGCCTTGAGTAAAAACATAAGGCTTGAGCTTTCCCGCAGTCTGCTCTGGTTCCAGCCAACACACCTATAAGAAGATACATGCGTTTGGTGAGACATTACCTGCACAACAGCCGAGTAAGTGCTCTTTGTCATGGGTGTATGGAAGCCGGGAAACAGGCTGCGGTTCAGGACAGGGAACCCAGATGTCTACAAGAATGGCAGTGTCTTCTCAGCCATCTGCACTGGGTCCAGCCATGACATCTACAGAGAAGTGATGCACGCTTGCTTGTACAATAAATGAATGACTCTGGCATTATCAGTGCTGATCTGAAGACCGAAAGTGACTAAAGGCTGCTTAGAGAACAAGTTCAGAAAGAGAAACCAAAGTATTCTTCCTCCTAGGTCTCATGACACTTCAACAAGTTTCAGTTTTGATCACAATGAAATGCTCAGGCAGTTGTGAACCATCAAGATGGGAATTAATGTGAACAAAAAATATTAAAAGCAGCTTGCATGCTTACCCCTGGTCCATCAGAAGCTGTATATTTGATTGCAAGTTGAAGTTTGTCATCTGAGTTGAAAGGCGTTGGGAACTTCACGACCAGTGTTGTCCCATAACTGGTGAAGTCTCGAATCAAAAATGCTGTTGAGGTCCAGTCACGCGAATTATGACTGAATGTGATCTCATGCACAGACAGTGTTGGATGAATATCCAGCTGTAACTCACTCTGACTATCCTGAGTGCACTGCAGCTGTATTGTTTCGGTAGCTGATATGGTTTTCCGCTCAAAGTCCACTTTAAGATCGAGATGAAAATGTTCTATTTTAAACAGGCGGAAACTAGAGGAGGTAGCGACGTCTTCGGCTTTGTCTGAATACAGCGTAAAAGTTGTATCCATTGTACTACAGAGTGGCCGGTAAACGGCGGCCAGTCTGTTCCTGCACTCACGAATGACAAGTGCACGGTGATAAAACAATCGAAGCGCTGGAAGCTAATCGTTATCGCATGTGGATGGGGTTTACGCTATACTTTTCGGCGTTATTGCAGCGCAGTGTTGTTTGTCGTAAAGACATGACAGGTGACCAATAAGAAAAAACAGTTTCACACATACTGAAATGTTACTACTTAAAACTATTATCTGTTATTCATATAAATGAATACAAAATGCCCGTCTTTGTCAAGTGGGCACCAGGGCTCAGATAGTCAAATTCTCTTTTAAAGCCACTTTCAAATCTCAGGACTTTGTCTTATTGTATACATTTTATATTACAATGAATGTACAGTATTTAAAATATATTAATTAAAAGGATTGGTATCTCACATTCGAATGAAACTCCTCCCCACCAATTTTTATAAAACGTGAAAGAAATTCATAATTCAGTAAACGGTGATAATGCAGTAATCACCGTGATAGGCTGATCCACAACAGCGGTGAGAAATGTAACAGTTGCCACGTGACAACCCCGTACCTACTTTAGCTGTCTGAACGTTCTCGAATATTTAAATGGATACTGATTTTTTTCATGAAGAAACCATACTATAAACAAATCTGTCTAATATAATGGTTACCCTTTATAATTGCGCGGTTTCAGTGTCGTGTTTTTCATCCAATTCTTGATTTTCAAGAATGATTCTGTGATCATGTCACTAAAATCATTGTGAGGTGATTTAATAAGTTTAAAATATTTCAGAAGATGTTTTATTGCACCAATCAGCATTTATCATCTGGAAATTTATATTTGTTTTTAGAGCAACCATTTACAGTGAGTCACCATATATACAAGTCACTGTAATAACTAATCAGAAAGAACATTGATTACATCATATGGACAAACAATCTTTATTCCTATAACTTTATTTTTGACACACACTAACCAAATAACATTACAAAATACTTAGTAACAAATTAGATTTAATTTCATCGAACAAAAAAAATCAATAGGTAAGTTAATCTATACATACTCTCTCTCTCTCTCTCTCTCTCTATATATATATAAAAACTATAAAACACTTCTAAAAATTGTCTTTCACAGTAATACTCTCAAAAATTTTGGGACAAGGCATTTCATAGAAAATGATGACTGTCTTGACATATCCCTATTTTTGTTCGATGTTAAAAAAAAGTCTATACTTTAATCTATCAGCCTTTAATCCATCAGTTTAATAAATTATTGAATAAATAGGGCTGTTGTCAGAAGGGTGTCCATGGTTTCACACCTGGCTGGCAACCTCAGAGTCATCCTCATACAACCTGTCTGGAGTCCTCAGAATGACCCGTTTCTGGGATACCTGGAGGAGCAAAACAAGAAGAAAAGCGGTCAGTCCATAGGGAAATTTGTTTGCACTGGTTTCTAGTAACCCTTGACTGTTGATAGTCTTAATATGAAATGAAACTCAGGAGTGACTGCACAATCTGCCGCTCTGTGGTGTTGTCTGAAGGTGTCATAAATCTGGCCTGGGTTACACAACAGCTGCTGGGTCTTAAATCATGGAGCACACACACAGTGTATTCTTACAACTAGAAAGGCCATTATGGAATGGATTAGATTGTATGTGCAGAATTTTATGACATTTTATCCCAATATTTTCTAAACTACAGAGTCAGTGTGTTAAAGCATAGATTAACAGGACAGGAGACAAGTGTCTTTCATTTAGCTAAAGTTTCTCAGATAATAAGATATTTGAGTAGTAGTCTTTAAGACTAAATCCAGCTGCCTCTGAAACACATGACTCTGTAAATCATTGCATGACAAGATATTGGAATGAAACAAATGTGTCTCGGGCAGTGCGGATGTTCCCACATATAATCTAAAGATCTTCAAAGGGACGATCCGAAACCAAATGACTAAATTAACCAACCAAATGCATCTGCAAGTTTGTGGTTTTGAATTCCTGTGGTATCTGTAAAGATTAAAAATTAGTGAATATGTGTAATCTCATTGCACAACCCAAATTCTTGATTTTACTTGAATCCTGAAGGCATTCGTACTCCAACCTAAATTTATTCAGCAGGGAATTTTCAATAATTTGTTATGTGACTTGTTGGTACATGTATACTGCATTCTTTAGGTGTCTGATTGCGCATTTTGACTGTAGTGTAAATTACCTGACTCCCACGCAAATAACACTGGCACCCACGGTATGTTTTGAGAAACAGTTTCTGTATGAGAATGATTTAAATCAGTAGTTCTCAAATGATGCGTCGCAACTCAAATATATGTTCTGATTGGGCCATAGAAAATTGTGTCTGAACATGCCTACTTTCATACGATATGGTAGGTGAAAAACAGTATATGAACAGAGTAGTATGTCTGAATTCATAGAATTCGAAAAATACAGATGACCTACTACTTCTGCCTACTACTTCTTATTACTATTCAGTCTGTTAATATGTTTCTATATTGTTAGGCTTATAAAATACAAGTTCTTATAAGTTCTTTTTTATTTCATTGTTTAATTGTGTATAATAAACAATTTTGATGCTGTTTTACGGCACCAAATCTAGGTCCCGAAGAAAAACTACTGACATAGTCTGCTGAATATAATTTTTTATGGTAATGGAGAACTTCAGTTTACTAGTATTCCAATTAGTAATGGATTCAAGTGAAAAGCATTAGGTCTTTGGGAATCATCCTTCTGACATCATAACAAAGGACTTTAGTTTGATGAGTGACACCACAGCGTATGCTCAGGTTTACTGATGTATTCTTGCCACCTTATGTACGATTAAATTCAGTGCCAAGCAATGGGAAAAAAAGAAGTTAACAAAGACACCTATCAGTTTCAGCTGGGAACATGCCAACTATCAAAATGTTGCTTGAGGAGATACTAAAGTTGGAGTAGAAGTGCATTGGCCAAACAACTTATCTGGCTTTCTCTAGAGAAATAAAGGAGCTAATGGGCCGTGTCGCTATCACCGTTTCCTTACGTCCAATCAAGCTTTTGTCCCTGAGAAATGGAATGCTCATCTACATATCAAGTTCCCACAGTGTAGTCACCGAAAGCTTGAATGGAAATAAACAGCAGAACAACCTTGACTGCATGTTTTCCCACTAGACTGTTGTGTTAATGGGAAAGTTCATGACCGTGAGGAATGCTTTGAGTGGAATGAAAACCTGTGTGTGACAATACAAATAAACTCAAAGTAAGCAAATGATCCATCTGATGAAGTATTTGTGGCATTTGGTGCAGAGTATGTGAGTGGAATGGAGTATGTAATTACACACCACTGCACAATTGTAATTGCACCCAGTTACCGTTCTTTTAAAACATGTGTTTTAATATTATGATATATTAGGAGAAATCATGTTTGCAGTTTCTGTACTGTTGTGAGGATGATGTGTTAGTATGATGTTATAATTCAGGGGTCTCCAACCAGTCCTGCAGACTTCAGCTCCAACACACCAGTCTATAATTATCAAGTAGCCCTGAATACCTTGATTAGCTTGTTCATGTGTGTTTGATTGGGGTTAGAGCGGTTAGAGCTTAAATCTGCAGAACGGTAGCTCTCCAGGAGCAGGGTTGGAAATCCCTCATACCATTTTTGTAAATTATGTAAAGTTCCTACGTCACAGCTTCCATGATTTTTCCAGTTGTTTGTGGTTATAGATAAAATGTTTATGATTTTACATAGATTTCACTCACGAACAGCAATTTCTAACAATTAAGTATATTTTAGCATAATAAGAATACATATTCACTATAGAAATGTCCATGACTGCCTAAAGGCTGGGACACACCAAGCTGATCCTATGAACTCCAGTGACATTTCCAGCAAAGCACAATTTTAAAATTCCCTGATATTTCCAGTTTATCCATGACCGTGGGAAACCTGACAGACTACACATCTGAGAAGAGAGAGTGACGTGTTACCCATCATTAGATTTTATTTCCTTATACTGTATGACAGAGCAACTCTTCTTTAATTTTCTGTAATTCAAAATTTTTTTTTTAAGTTGTATAAAACATTTTTTCACAGTAAATCTGTAGTCATTCATACTCTGTCATTAATTTTCATTTAACATTTTTGTTTTTGATCATGTTTCCAACTAAATTTCACAAATTCAAATAAGAAATGTTTCTTGAGCACCAAATCAGCATATTAGAATGCTTTCCGAAGGACCATGTGACACTGAAGCCTGGAATAAGGCTTTGCTGTCACTAAATTTGCATTTTAAAACATTAAAATAGAAAAAAAAAAATTTTTTTTAATTGTAATCATATTTAACATTATTACTGTTTTTATTTTTGATCAAGTAAATGCAGCCATGTTGAACATTAGAGACTTCTTTAAAAACATTTAAAAACTCTTACAGTCCCCAAACTTTTGAACAGTAGTGTGCACTGATTTACAGCATTGTGTTGTAATGTCTCTGGGCAACCATAAACAACAAAATGACAATTTTGAGTTGTGAGTGGTTTGCTATTGTGCCATTCCCTAAACTAATTCCAATCAAAAGCTCTTTTATATCTGAACACCACACCTTGATCCAGTAGTGATCTCACTTTGACGCAGCAAGAGCACCAAGCAAACCTTTCCCTGTTCCTCAGGCAGGCCTGGGCAGTGCGTAACTGATCTGCCTTTTCTGGAAATTCCTCTCCCAACAGACTGATACTTCACAGAAATGTGATACAGCTCTATTCTATTTCATAAAGAGCCAAGATAGTTACACATTTGGAGCTTTTCCTTTCTCTTTGCAGGTCAATAAATTTTCCGCACATTTATTCTGAGTGACTGAGAGGAACAGCTATTTACCTGCTGTTCCTGGAAACGGTGGTGCTGGGAAAGCGAAAGTGGGGACTCTGGGATGCGGAGCGTGTCCTGCCTGTTCCGGTCCAGTGAGTGCGGTCGGAGTTGGTTGCGCTGGTGCCATGATTTGAGTTCCTCTGACACCACCTGCCGTGGCAGGCCTCGGCTAGGATGGTGAGAATACTCTCTCAGCGAAGGAGCCCGTGACAGTTTCACGTGGGCGGGTAACAACCTGCAACTTCGCTGCTGGGAAGGCATAGCCTCGCTATAGTAGTACTCATAGTGACCATTAGAAGAATAAACAGGCGAAGGGGCCTGGTGGCTTATGTACAACCT